GGATCCGACTCATAGCGACCCCTCCATTCATTGTCCAGCTCTCACATGCATATGAGGCAATTGAAAATACCATGGCTTGGGTTGGGTGCTCCTTAGTCTTCAGTGTGACATCTCTGCTCCTTCACACTTTAAAGAGGTCTTTGGCAGTAGATTTTTCTGGTGCAGTAAGACATCCGATAGCCTGGCACCTGCCTCTGCGTGTGCTGATTGTGGCTCTGAGGGAAATGAATTCCCTGACAATTTCAATCTTTTCTCCATTTGCTATGATGCTGCTTATTCATCCCGTGGTGAGGATTATAATTTTCTTTATTTCGAGGTATAATCCATATTGAAGATTGTAGTCTCAGAGCTTCATCAATAAGTGCTTCAAGTCATCCTCACTTTCAGCAAGCAAGGTTGTCCCATTTGCATATTGGAGGTTGTTAACAAGTCTTCCTCCAATCCTAATGCTGAATTCTTCTTCATACAGTCCAGGTTCTCAGATTATTTGCTCTGCATACAGATTGAATAAGTGTGGTGAATGAGAATTAGAAGTGGAGAAATGAATTAACTGATGAACCTGTATTTAGGCATTTTAGTCAGTTGCCTGTTTTGAGAGTTGTGATGATGCTTTGCATTTTCATTGTTAAGAAACAAGTCATTAAATTACAAATTCAAGCTATTAATCTAAATAGGTTACACTGTGTTCATAGATCAAGACATAGCAGTGAGTGATCTAAATGGAACCTTACGTGGAGAACACGAGGACTTGGATGTTTTTTCTTCATTTAAAGAACTTTAGCCTTTCGTATAAGACCAGTGAGGTTGGGGGCAGGGGGAGTCAGGGAGGGCAGAGCTCTAAAAAGTGATTACTTTTGCCTGTTATGGTGGTGCAGTGCCTAGGGCATTTGACTGCTAACTAGTAGATTGGTGGTTCAAACCCACCAGCCACTCTGGGGAAGGATGATGGGGCAATCTACTTCTGTAAAGATATATTTTACCACCTCAGAAACCCAGTGGCTGGCTATGAATTGGAATTGACTCGATGGCAGTGGGTTTGGTTTTGGTTTTGGTATTATGAATACAGAATTCCGAGTGTCTCTTAATTGTAATGAAGTATCACAATCTCTTGTTCCTTCTTTAGTTTACCAAGTGCTTTTAGTCTTTTATATGAACATAGCAGGGTCTGCCAAAGACTGCAGAATTGTTTAAAGTCTACTTTTCCTGATTTTCAGTTTAGCTTGTGGAATTAATTTACATTACAAACAATATACATGTGGATGTTTTAGTTACCCAGTGCTGTTATAACAGAAATACCACAAGTGGATGTCTTTAGAAACAGAAGTTTTATTTTCTCACAGTTTAGGAAGCTAGAAGTCTGAACTCAGAGCGCCAGCCCTAGGGGAAGACTTTTCTGTCTCTGTTGTTTCCAGAGGAAGGTTCTTGTCTCTTCAGCCTCCACTTCCTGGTTCCTCAGAGATCTCCTTGGGTCTTGGTATCTGTCTTCCCACATCTCTGCTTGCTTGCTTGCTTTTTTAATCTCTTTTTTTATATCTCAAAAGAGATTGACTCCACAAACACCTTATGCTAATCCTGCTTCGTTAAGCTAACAAGATATCCCATTCCCAAAAGGGATTATAGCCACAGGCCTAGAGGTTTACAGCACATATTTTTTGGGGACATACTCAGTCCATGACACTGGATGACATATTTTGAAATTTAGTTCTGATCAAAAACTTTTTAACTTTATATAAAAGTGAAGAATTTAGTCATATTTCATTAATTGTTTTTTAAATTTTAATCTTTTATGTATGGTAGCAAACCATATTTTAGTATAATAAAAACTGGGATACCTTTGAAAACACTCCAGCTGAAGGTGAGATTGTACAGTGCTTTAATTTTGGGAATCCTAAAGTTTAGGGAGCTCTGGTAGCAGAGTGCCTAAAGCACTTGACTGTTAACCAGAAGGCTGGTG